ATGAGTGTGTCCCATAATAAATTGAAGATTGCACCGGTTGGATCTCTTGTTTTATTGCATACTATTTTTATTTTCTGTTTGACCCACAAGTGTGGCAAATTGCTGCAGATGAAAAAGGCCTTGGGCTCTAAAACACAAAAAAACACTCAGGAATATTTAGAGAGAAAGTTTAAAAGCTCAAAGGACAAGGAGTGAAACTTTATATGCCTCCGTTTGATCAAAGTTGATGCTGAGCTACAGCTGTCGGAGTGTGTGTGTGTGGGTGTGTGTGTTTAAGGGACTCTGAGGAAACCGTTGCATTTTATGACACTGTCAAAAAACTTCCACTTTCTGCATCTATCAGATACTAAAACACAGAGGGGAAAATGGCTGTTTGCTAAGAGTCAGAGAGGAGAGAATATAATAAAACTAAACCCTTCAGTTTAAAGGGGATCTATTATACAAAATTCATCATTTACATGTTTTTTTTTCTTTTATTTGTGTCTCAACTGTGTAATAAAAACACCCCGCCGTTTTGTTGTTGTTGCAATAAGTTAATGTTTATTGGTGTCTGGGAAACGAGCCGTTTCAAAAACAAGATTTAAATGTAGAGCAAATGTCTAATTTAGTCACAAACAACTGAATAATAATAAAATTAAAGTTTCTGAAAGTAACTTTTTCCTTCTTTTACCAAAGAAAAGTCCAGAAGCACAAATGTGTAAATTGCACAAATTAGTTTATTGGTCAATATATGAAATCAAACCCAAATATTGAAATGTCTGGTTACCATAAATCAATCTGTCGCTTTAAGAGAACATTGAAACTCACATTTTTGTGTAGGAGGTTTTTTTCCCCCAGTTGGGTTCCATTGGAATATACTGCTGAACATGTTTTTGTTAACTTTACAAAGCTCTGTGTTTGGTGACAAAGGCACTTAGTGCGGACAATTGGGAAAAAATGCAAAGGGAACGTTGTTGTCTCCAGATCGGAATGTGTCCCCTGCCCTGGTCACAATGCCCAATTCAGTCTGGGCCAGCGCCAAAAAAAAGTGCCACTCTGAAATACCAGGTGACTCATTGTTCAAGCTGCTCATTATGTCCCTGTCACATGTCTGCTTCAAAAGCAATAAATCACATCCACTTGTAGTCCAGTTGCAGCATGACGTCACAGGATCCATCCCCATTTCCCTGATGTTGGGCAAAAAGCTGATGGATGCCGATGACTACCATTGGTTTTAACTGTTATCAATATCACTCGCTAAATCTTAAATGTATGCCTGATATACAAAGAAAAAGGGGACGTATGCTTTTCTACTAATAGTCTACACTACAACAAAGATAACAAGGTCAGAAAAAAGTTTTAAGTAAGAAAACAATAGCATCACATCTACATGTTATGGCTACACCTTGACAACCGTAACATGCAGAATATGGTGTTCAGTTAAAAAACACCAACTCAGATCATCAGTAGAGCAGGTGTTTACGTTAGCTAATCAACCACAGCTGTGCTAGAGTAACTAATAGCAGCGGCAGCTAATCTACCACAGCTGTGCTGGATTAGCTAATAGCAGCGGCAGCTAATCTACCACAGCGATCACTTATTAATAATCACAAAAACAACATCAAGCCTAAACATAATACTGTAAAGAACTGAATGTCCTGTTTTTCGTGAGGAAAATATTTGAGTAGTTTCTTTTGTGTTAAATCCTGACGCATAGTAGCGTTGTTGCCAGTTGCTATGTGTGTCCGCTATGCCTTCGAGCATAGCGGACACACAAGAGTGAGGGGGGAAAATGGTTTTGAGTTATTTTTCCACGGTTTTCCCGCGCCATTTTCCCTTTTGCTGAGGAGCATAGCACTAAATTAATAATACCTCAATTAGTGCCTAGATGAAACCTAAACCTAAATTAAACTTAAGGTTTCATTTAGTTAACGGGATTCTTCTACCGCGGCAACGATAGCATGTCTTTATGCCTTCCAGTGTTGTGCGCATGCGCGAAATTTCCGGATGTAAACAAGGGGCCGAGTTGAACTAATCATATTTGTTACTTCTGAATGTGCTCCATTGTTCGAGTCTTCGCCGGAGTAACAAAACAAACCAAAACCCATCTGAGGAAATATCTCTGTGTGTGTTTTTGACCCCGTAGGTTCGGCCTACTATGACAACGTTCGGCCGTTGGCGTATCCCGACTCGGACGCTGTGCTCATCTGCTTTGACATCAGCCGTCCGGAAACCCTGGACAGCGTGGTGAAAAAGGTCAGTGTGTCACATTCTCAGAAGCGTAAATGAGTCACCTTTTGCCTTACTAAAACTTATTAGGAAAACAAAAAATTGAGGAGAATTTGAGTTTTTCTTAGTGCAAGGGTCACAATCTGTATGCAGTTTGAGGAGCTGACTGCGTCTGAAATCCTTTCTGCTTGACTCAAACGGACAAAAATTACTTTAATGAGATAAACTATCATGAAAGTAAACGGGATCTCATGTCGTTTGATTTTTAACTTAAAAAAATAAATAATCCATTAAGATTTTATTCTGTTCACCAAAAGCTCAAACAAAACCTTATCATGGTCAGTTTTTCAGAAATAATTACAGTTTCTCCAGGGGTTACGAACCACATCTGCCCACCAATAGCTGAAATCCTTGAATATTTGAGGCTCCATCTAATAACATTTATAAATAACTACACATTGATGAATTCTAACACAGAATATACCTTTATATGCGTTAATACGCACAGTGGAGATTGAGTTGGCATTATAGCAGAAGCTAACATGCAAAATCTTCCTTGCCTCCTTTTGTCTGTTTTGCAAACGCCTTGCATTGTGCCAAGGTATTCCATCTGCTGAAGCTGCATTTTCTTTCTCTTATAGCCTATATGCTCTACGGAAAAATAAAAAAACATGAGTGATTGATACTTAAGAGCCCAAACAACGCTGTAGCTGACACTAGATAAAACACTTACTCATAATGTAGTCTGTTGTGCTTTTTGTTCTCAAAGCAAAGCAAGTTTGCACATCTGATTTGCAACACTTCAGTCGTTTTAAGATCTTTGGAGGTTCTGTTTGTGGTTCTGAACATTTCTTATGAATTAGCCACCAGTGATATTAATCTCTGCAACAGTATCCAGAATCCTCTGTAGTAAAATAATGTTTGCTGTTGATCGTTTATTTGACCGGCAAAGCAAGCTGCATAATATTCTGTTATCAAGTAAGGGCAATACCAAAGTTTCAACACTGTGCTCGTAAAGTCTCGTGTACTCCTATATGTACGAAGCCCGTCTGGCGATATGGGGAAAGAAAATATTAATGTGATTACAACGTAATAACTCGTGGGCACAGCTTGTTTAATACATAGGAACCACTTAATAATTCATGGGAACGACGTAAATATAATAATTCGTGGGAAAAACTTGTTTATTTTGTAGGAATGACTCCCATACTTCTTTCTTTCATGGGATTGACTTAATTTGAACAAGTTTTCTATTTAGTTAGTAATTAAGTCATCGATCACGACTTGTTTAATTCGTTAACTACTCATAGGAACAACTTAAGTCATGACTACAAGTAAGTCGTGGCAACAAATTAAACAAGACCTGGAAATGATTTTTTTTTTCTCCCATAATGTCACCGGACAGGTTCGTAAATATGTGCCAACAATGATGTTTTAAATCTGGTGAATTTGCTGTGCAATCCTGCGTTTGGTTGCATCTTTCTTGCTAGCTAGCAGCATGCTAGCAGCATGCTAACGCCTGTGCAATAAAAAAAACCTCAAAGTTGGTATCAGGCAAACTTAAAATGGGAAAATATTAATTTTCTGTATTTTGATTGATTAATTGGACAAATTTTGTAAAACAAAAATGCTCTCTGTAGGAAAACCTTTATATTGATAATTCATTAGCAATAATTTGACAGCACTGCTGCTTTGAGGTTGCATTATGAATTTAAAAATTTACAGTACGAGTTGTTTAGCTTTACACAAATATGTGTATTTTTAGATAAAAATTAAAGACATAAAAATTATTCAGATGTCCGGATGGTAAATTCAAAGCGTTGGTGTTTTCTTACCGCCAACTGTTTTTAGAAGTTTACAATTGAACGAGTTAGCATGCGGTGATTGACGTGTTTTCAGTCCGGAGACATTCCTGCCATCATTCATCAGTGAAATTGTCAAAGCAAAACAAAACGGTTATTTTTCATGGTAGGCACATTCCCACATCTACAGGGGGGTCCACTTCAGCGCTTTCCGTGACCTTTCTAAGTGACCTTGGTAAATGGTGGTGAATAAACTTATTTGAAATGCATGCACAGAATGCCAAAGTGACATGTTGAGTGGTCACTTTTATTTAAAAGTAATTTATCCTTTTGTGACCTCCTAACTTTGTAATTTTAGGTGTGCCGTGACATCTCGTGTTTTTTTTGTCTTGCTTTCCATTTGAAAGCTTTCATCCTCAAATATCTTTGTGTCCCACCATTTCTGACAGCCTTTCAAATAATCAATGTTTGCACTCTCCAGTTTTCCTTTTAGGTCTCCCATTCTTTCTTTCTGCACTGCTCAGCTACGAAAATACCCTCTGACTGCTTATCACTTGATTTTGTTGTCCTTGTTTTCCTCCATTCTCGGTCTATTCATCAGTCTCCATCTCTCATGTCCGTAAATATCTCCGCCAGCCTCAAACCTTTTACACTCCTCAACCAACTTTTGTTTTTCACTGCTTTGTTTTTAACCTTCTGCTCCAAGATTTAATTGTTACGCTTTATTGTTGATCAATACCTAAATGATCAATAATAAAAAAACAGTTACCAGTATTACAAAAATACTGTAATTTCTGCAATTTTAAAAATGTATTCATCTGCTGTCTGCAAAGCACATTGCCCTTTGGGGACAATAAAGTTTATTTAATCTAATTTAATCTGTTAAAAAAGAAACAAAAAATGACAGATGTGGTTCGGATTTAAATTATTCACCTACTAGAAATAATAATAAAATAAGTTAATTTTATTATTTTACAAATACTTTGATTTTTTTTGCTAGTATGAGTATTGTTGTGCTATTTGCTTTTTGTGCTGTATTGTGTTCTTCTATATGACATTTCCAGGGTAGGTTGTTGTTAAAAATGAGAATTTGTTCTCAACCGGTTTACCTGGTAAAATAAAGGTTAGTCTAAAAATAGACAAAACATTTTCTAACCAGTGCCTAGGTCTCTAACTTTTACATTTTGTCTTCGCTTCTACTCAATGAAATGTGCTTAGAGTTGCAAAACTTACTTGCAAAAAAGTTGGCATTTCAAATTTGACATTTTTCAAATAAAGAACTATAGTTGTTTTACTTACATTTGTGATTTTAGAACAAAGATAGAACTAAACTTTTACAATTAAAATGTTTGAAGCTGAGTTTTCTGATGGCACAATCTTCTTCCTAATCCCAACAACTAGTTATTGTGACTGCAGCTGTTTTTTAACCGATGACTGAACCCATGAAATTCAATCTTCTGTATCCTCCTTTTAGCTCCACCTTTGCATAACTGGTTTTTGCATGTTTATTTTGCACCATCCTGGGTCACGCTTGTATTTTTAGACAGAACTGCCAGTTGAGGAAAAAGCGAAAAGCAAAACAAAGCTTCATTTTGTCCCTTTCATGAACCAGACTCTCTGCTCCAGCAGCCCTCATTCTGATGCTCTTTTATGCACCAGTTCTTAACAGTAGCGCAGACAATAAGCTGCTCTTCCCATGGTCCCTTTGTGACTCATGTGAACGACTGCGTTTCACCAGTTGCGCACACAGTCACGGCGAGAAAGGCTGTTGAAAAGGCAACAGCAGCGACGCTGGAGAACATACCAGCATCAGCGGCCAGGCAAACTGGAGAAAACAAGACGTCTTTGTGAGGCAACAAATGGAGCAACAGTGATCAGCCTCTGTTTCGTTGTGGGAAGATACTAAAAGGAGTCTCAGGGAGAAAGATGGAGGAAAAGCATTTAGTGGCATGAGTCATGTCTGTGGTCTGTAATGAGCGCTGTCCATCTTTGTCTTCAAATCCGGAGACGGAGAGCAACATTTTGAAGCAAAACAGCTTCAGTAAATTTACAGTAACCGTCCATTAGGGCTGGACAACGAAGCAATAATATATTATCGAGACTGACACGCGATCAATATCAATAGATAACACATCTGATAGAATATTCACTGAACCACACAGCATTCTGGGGGATGTAGGCAGAGGAAAGACTTTAGCCGCTCAACCTCTCATGATCAGCTATAGAAGGTTGGTGGAATCAACCAACTCGCTTACTCTTTGCTTACCTAGCAACTCGCTCACTCTGGTTACCTAGCAACGACCTGTGGAGTAACTTGCAGGTATAGTGGTTTCGCCACTATACCTCATAACTACTTAGAAATGAACAACGGCATGAAGCAGGGAGGTTCACACCACCAGTTTGGCAGTGTTTGAGATACTACTTCAGAAACCAAAAAAAACTAATTAACAATTAGTGATATAGACTGATGTAAAACGCTTATATTGTGATACGTTTTTCAGCCAAATCATCCAGCAATAATTCCCCTAATAAAGATGTTTAAAAGGCCTTAAAATAATTATGCCTTCTGTTACAGCAGTATAATCTCTCACTGCCCAACCAACAAGAATGCAGCAAGTGGTTTCTGAAGAGTATGTCAACAACAACACACGTGTCTTTTCCATCGGCCATTGTACGATGCCATCAGGCAGAGCTCAGCTTGGGTTGCTAGGTAACAGGGCTAGGGTTGCCAAGTTGGATTTGTTACATTCCGAAGGTTTTTGAAACGGCTCATTTTCCAGACACCAAAAACCGGCTTGTTTTTAAAAGCAGTAGAAACCCAAATGGAACAAAATGTGATTTTTTTTTTTGTGGCATTTCTTATAAATAAAACTGAAACATTTTTTAATAAACTGTTTTTAAGTTAAGTTGATCAATGTGATTACATTTTTTTATCAAGGTATCAATATGATGCTACACAGATGCCCATTTGACTCTTAGCTGCTCTTCAAAATGGGAAAGACAAGTAAGGAAATCGCTACATGTAAATAACTACTGTAAACTTGCCTTTTTTTTTTAAATAAAACCTGCATCAAAACTTACATATATTTTGCCACCACACATTGAGCAGGACGTTCTCGTGTAAAGCTGTAAGACATGAGATGATCTCATATTTTCTATAACAACCTTATATTGTAATCTATAATCTGCAGAAGTCATTTCAAACCAAGTTGTTGATGCATCTGTTTTACAAAAGTCAAGCTCACCTCCTCTGCAACAAATTTACTAAAAGCAGCTGATCACCTGGAAGCTAGCTGTCCTGCTACCTCTTGTGATGTCATCATTAACAGATATTCTCCAAATAGAAGTTGAATGTTTTTTTTTGTCTGTTTGTGAAATCTTGTGGTGGAAATCCATAATGTTGTATTTTGTTAGTGTTGTACCATTTGCTGTTGAAATTTCATACACCTGTGGGTGGTTTCTTTAAAAAGAGGCGAAATGCATCTTTCTTAGGCACTCAACCAAACAAAGTGGAAGAAGAATGAACTTTGAGAGACGAGTGCAGTGATTAATGTTCATCTATCTGACACGCAGTGGCAAGGCGAGAGGCAGGAGTTCTGCCCGAATGCCAAAGTGGTCCTGGTCGGCTGCAAGCTGGACATGAGGACGGACGTCAGCGTCATGAGAGAGCTCTCCAAACACAGACTGATTCCTGTTACCCACGAACAGGTGAGAGCTACACCTTAACTCGCTTGTTTGAAGCTAAAGCTTTCTTAGCTTTCTGGATGACACAATATTTAATCCAGTCATCTGTTGGTGTTACTTGGAAACTCGGTAGGAAAGTCATAATAGGAGTGATTACTTTCCTCCCTTGTGCACGCAAACAAAACTTCTGAAAATGAATTTGGAGAATGATATTTGCTCCACATCATAACGTTCACAAATACAGAAACACGGCGAGTGTAAGAAAGGACCTGGAACCCGAACAAAGACGGAGACAAACAGCGGTTGTGTGATAAAGCAATTGTTTTGTTTGTGTGTTTCGGAGCAATGAGCAGCGGCATGCATGAATTTTAATTGCCTATTTCCATGTAAATGTGAAATCACACTTCTTGGCAACCTTTTGTCAACAAATTAATTTTTTTTTTTTGCTAAGCAAAAAGTAAAGGATCTTTGTTGGCTGTCAGTTTGGTGCGTCTCTGTGGGATCGATGAGCTTGCAGAAATCAATATCCATAGTATTCATGAATTCAGCTCCTGCACAGATGGAGTGAGGTTTGGATGCATGCAGAGTTGCAACTATTTACATTTATTCAGCTACATTTATTTTAAAGAATTACTTTTAGGAGTATTTTTACATACTCCTAAAAGTATAGAGTTACTCTTACTTGAGTACAATTAAATGAGACAAAAATCCAGGACTGATTACCAGAATCAAAGTGTGCTAAACTGTTTTTAGGCCACAAAGATTTGACTTATTTGTCCAATCAGCAAAAAAAAAAAAAAAAGAAAACAAACAAAAAAAAGACATTATATAGAGACTGAAATGTGAGAAAAATTACAGATTAAAGACACTGAAATAAACAAATCTGAATTATTTCTCATAATTCTGAGACTAAAGTCGGAATTCTGAGAAAAAAAGAATTCTGAAAAATTGTCAGAATTCTGAGAAAAAGTCAGAATTCTGATATTTAAGTCGGAATTCTAAGAAAAATCAATTCTGAAAAAAACAAATTCAGAATTCTAAGATTTTTTTCTTCTTTTTTGTCAGTGGTCCTAATCCTCTTCTATGAAAAAATACATTTAAACTGATTCTTACTTTTTTTGAAAAGCTGATGCTGTAAATTAATAAAATGTTTTAACACAATGAACCATTTAATGTTTTTTAAGGCATCAAAGTAAAATAAATGCTAACAAAAGGCACATTTTTGTGAACATAATAAAGCAAAGAATTAATGTTTATGAAATTTAAAGATGTGTAGTTACTTTTTTTTACTTCATATCATCTTACTTTGTCCAAATTTACACAACTTTGTTAATTTAACTTTTTAACATTACCATGAGAAACTTCAGTTTGTTTTTTTGAGGATTTTAAGAGACACACCAAAGCAAAACTGAAATGAGCGGTGTATGAGGAAAGATGCACCCCCCCTTTCCTCATACACCCCTAAATAAAATCTAACTCCCTTCTAAACTCATTGGAAAACCATGCATCACTTTCCTTCCACTTCATAATTACGTTTGGCTCTGGGTTTGCCCCTTCACGGAAAAACCCAATAAAACACACTAAAGTCTGTGTAGCGTGACGAATGGTGGAAAAGTTTAAGTATTATTAATAATAAAAACTTCTGTAATTGACCGTAGGATGGTGTTGGACACCAGCAGGAATAAACAGAACCTTTATGTTGGTGTTTTACGGCTGTAAAGACAGTCCTTAAATATTTTATTGCTGTTGGGAGTTTTTTCCCTTTGCCCCAACAAGCTATCAGGGTTTTATTACCGTAAGTGATTTGTTTTTCTCCCTGTATGACCAAACACAACGGTCTTACATCCACCACAGCACCGAGTGGATGATCTGGTGTGAAATAAATTGACACAATAATCCATTGTAGGCCCGTTGGTTCACTTTGGGAGCTGCAGGGTTCCTCGTTGTATGAAAAAGTTTGGAAAATATGGATGTTTCATCCTCCCTTGCCCTCTTTGTTTCTTTGTCTTTCCTTCTTCCCTCCTTTTTTATTTGTGTACTTTCTGGTTTCCTCTTCGCTTTGTTGTATCCTTTTTTTTCTCCTTCCTTGACATTTCTTTCATATTTTGCTCCATCCTGTCCTTCCTTCCTTTTGTCATTCCTTCTTTGAGTCTGGTTTCCTTCCTTCCTGTTCTCCTTCCTGATTTTTGTCTTAGTTGAATCTTTGCTTTGTCCTTCATGTCCAGACTTGTGTCCTTCTTTCTGTCTTTCATTCCAACCTTGTCTTTCTTCCTATCCTTACATCCTTCCTTCATTCTATCCTTCCTTGTGTTTTTCTTTCCATCCTCCTCGGTGTCCTTCTTTCCATCCTTCTTTGTGTCTTTTCTGTCCTTCCTTCCAATCTTGTCATCCCATTCTTCCTTGTGTCCTTCCAACCTTTTGTAATTCATTCTATCCTTTCCAATCTTGTCTTTCTATCCTTCGTGTCCTTTTTTCCATTCTTCCTTGTGTCCTTCGGTCCTTCCTTCCTCCCAGTTTTTCCTATTTTCATATTTAAAGCCTCACTACTTTAGAAACATCTGCTTTATGTTTTTAGTGAACTTTGGTATTTTGTATCTTGAAAATTTCCAGAATGACACAGAACTCTGGAACTTCACGTCTAGAAAAGTTTAGTTTTAAAATGAAGGCGGGGGTTTGATGAAATTCCCAGCGCTGTCTTTGTTAGCAGATGAAGTAATAATTTACTAGTTTTTGTAACAGACTCGTGTTCTGTCTTCAGGGGACCAATCTGGCGCGGCAGATCGGCGCTGTGGCCTACACCGAGTGCACCTCGAAGTTCTCCGAGAACAGCGTCCGCGACGTCTTCCACGTCACCACGCTGGCCTCCGTGTTCAACATTCATCGGCCGCAGGTCAAACGCGCGACAACGCGTCGCACCCACAAGCGGATCTCGCAGCAGCCGCCTCGGACTGAGATTCACGAACATCCGCCCGCCATCAGGAAGGACCGGGCGAAAAGCTGCGTGCTCATGTAGCGTCTGCTGATGAGCTCCACTGCACATAAACTTTTATAATTTATCTGTGAATTCTCGTCACATTTTTTGCACTGTAATAAGAACAATATGGCAAAAAAGAAAATGAATGGAGCTCTGAGTGATTTTTGTTTTTTCTTTTTTTGTGGTCAATTTTCTGCAAAGCTCTGCTTGTCATTTTTCTTTTTGGCTGTGCTATTCATCCTGGGGAGGCCAGTAATGTGGCTGAAGCTATTTTTTTTTTAAGCTTTTACAAGAAAGAATAATAAACAAAGGACAGGAACTGTTTGGTTGAAAAACAAATCGCAGCAAAGTGAGTGGGGAAGAACTGAAGAATAAATAGTTTTGTATTTTAAATCCTGTTTTTGTCTTCATGTTCCAGGAAATGAAGCACAAAAGAGCTCTGAGAAATCTGTAAAAACTGAAGAATGACGTTTTCTTTTAAACTGAAATAAAACAAACCTAAAAACAACCTCATGGGCGAATAAAACACTAATTTTCTTAAACCACAAGTGCTTTAATATGGAAAGAAAATTGCTCATTATATAACCTGAGATGTTGTGTACTTACTTTTGTTCTGTGTGGAGAAGTCTAGAAAGGATTCATGAGGATGCATATTATGTTGTTCATTCAGCTTTGAAATAAAAAAAATGGATCTGCTTAGTGTTCAAAAATATTTTCTCATTTATTCAATAATATTCAGATAAATGTCAGGTAATGCAATTATCTTAATTAAATGTACAGAAGATGCTTTCCACATTTATTACGTCAATCAAAATTATTGCAATTATTTTCACCTGAGTTGAAGCAAAATATACAAAAAAATACAAAACAAATAAGCTATAAAATGTCACATTTTAACATACTGAGAACCTTAATGGCGTATTCAATGAGTTTATTATACTCTGTCAGGTGTTAGCACATCTTGAAAATAGTGATGGGCATTTATTGTATTGTCTATTGTGATACATTTCTTAACACTAGGATTTTTGATTTAAAGTCTCCATAAAACTGTCCGTATTACTGGGATTATTTTTACTACTTTCTCCACCGTTTATTCAATGAGAGCATCAATAAATTTGAAAACATTTTAAATGCAGTGACTATGTGCAATTTAGTGACACAAACTGTTTTTCAGGAGCAGTATTTGTGTTTAGCTATATACTGCTAAACACAAATAGCAGTATATTTGTGTTTAGCACAAATATACTAAACACAAATATACTGTAATTAAGTTTGTAAACAAGAGTTTATAAATAGTTTTCAATCGACACATTTATTGTTATCAGAAAATATTGCAACGAACCTTTAAGAATATATTGGCCCCCCTTACTGACAAGCAACAAAATGATGGTCAAATATATAAGAAATATATGAACCTGTGACATGACTGTGTAAAAATAATGTGGTCAAGAGAAACAGGATTTTTAAAAGCACCTTTCTCAAAAAGTTTGGTGCCATAAAGCAGTAAATTTAATCATATAGCGCTTTCATACACCTTCAATACAGCAATCCAAATGTAATGCTCTGATTTTATAAGTGAATGCAGCCAATCTGGTCTGTATTCATGAGCTTTGCGGTCTGACCTTTAAATGTGGCTTTTGTTCCAGTTTGTTTCCCACCACAATGGATGAGACCCCACAGCAACTCGCTGCCTCTGTGAGCAGCAGCAAAGTGACATTTCACAGCATCGCTGCCATGGTCCCATGCAGGGAGCGTGAGGTCACTCCGCATGCCGGAGGAAAAACCAAGACAAAACCTCATCCAGGTGGGAAAAGATGTCCACAAACATGGAGGAGCGTGTGTGACTAGCATATATTCTTACCAAGTAATGCTATTTACAACATAAATGTTAGGATCTTTTGGTTATCTGCGCGGATACGATTAATAGATTTAAATTGGATTTACTTAATGTCCGTTTTAGACGTTCTTTTAGTGTTGTAGTTTGTCCGCCATCCAGAAGAGGGCGCTGCTCGTCATCCTCCCGAAGCGCAGCCATTTATACAGAAACAAAAATGGCGGAGAGATGATATGATGGTCCTAACAGATTCCGAAGTGGGATGTACAATGAACTCGAACGGTTCTGTTTTGCAATATAATCACTTGAAAATGTCTTTTCAGTCATCACAGTAATACTACCGACTCCGGAAATTGTTAAGATATATCAGTTTGCTTCTTAAAATTCAGGATATTATGAAAAATGTAGCCGTTTATGTTACGGAAAGGGGTTGACAAATTTTTTTTTTTTTAAATTGGCCGCTTATTAATTTATCCTTGGTTAAATCAACATTAGTCGATAGCTTGCGTCCCTAGCACGGACATTAGATCTGAGTTTTAAACATCCACACACAGTAAACCAGCTGCAGCCCCTTTCAGGGAAAAGTCAAATTACATTAGAGGAAAATCTTGAATGCTAAAAATGACCTAGCCTCAGGCACCGACTCCACTCAGCCTGTTGTTTGTTGCTGCCAAGGATAACACAGGCGATTCTAAAACACGTCGCATATTTTGCAAATAGTCATCCTTTTTCCACCAGCAACCTTACCTGGCCTCAACGACTCAAATTCAGCCACCGCTGCGGAGCATAATCCGGCTAATGGCCTTCATTTTTCAGGTGCTTCCCATTAACTAAAAAGGGATCTGTGTGTGAAAGGCAACCAAAGATAACGTGGCTTTTGAAAAATGAGCTTGAAGTGGTGGAGAAGGGTGAAGATCTAAGAGCAGAAAGAGAAAATAATTCTCTGAGCTGCTACACGGATGCAGCTGTGTCAGAAACCTCAGGCTTTGCGTTTATTCTTCCTATGCACTCATGAGGGCTCCTATTAGTGGCATTATAACTACAAATCAGCCATATTTATACAAATTAATAGTGGCCGTGTGTGTGTGTGTGTGTGTGTGTGTGTGTGTGTGTTATTATTTAGCTTCAAGTGTAGGCAGAGGTACTGCTGGTAATTAGAATACAATGCAGCTTCAGGCATGAAAGTAAACCTTGAAAACCTTGTGATGTCAAGGGACTCGCTTTGCTTAAGAGAAAAACTGAAGAAAAGAGAAAATAAAGGATAAAAGAAAAGCAAATTCACATGACGCAAATGGAGGAGGAAAATGAAAAACAATTGGAAGCTTTTTCCTGAGATAAATGCGGTTCTGACTCAGCAAATAAGCACAATTTTAAAATATGAAATAACCTAAAAGGAATAATTAAATTAGGGAAATTAAGTGAGGTTCAAACCATCACATAAGAGTAATATTTGTAAAGTTCAATAAAAAGCATATGGTGTGTCTACCAGATTTCAGACTGAAGGTTTTGCACATTTTTCTTTGTAAACTAGCCCAAGCTCAGTCACATCATGAGTTTTGTTTTGACTTGGCCATTTTAACACATGAACCGTCACTTAGATGTTTTTCACCATTTTTGCCAATCAGGAAATTAGCAACTCTACTATAGTCTTATGTATTGACATGTAAATGTTCATTAATATGTATTGTCCTGCTTAAAAATATGTAAACAATGACATTTTATACAGTAGATATTGATAAGATGGGTCATTTAGCTACACTGGGGTGAAAGTGGCTCTTTGGATTGAAAATCTTGATAAAATGCAGTTTGTAGTTGCACTAAGACAAAATGTGTGAAAAAAAATCCAGGGATATGAATACTTTTATAAGTAAATATTACTGAATGTTTGCTTGTTGTTTACAACTAAAGAAGTGAAGTCATGAGATGAAAAATGAAACTCTCTTTGAGAAATAAGAAATTTAAAGAAAACTAGTGTCCAAGGAAAGCAAGACAGTTTTTATAAACAGCAAATCCCTTGAAAAGTCATGTAAAGTAAAATCTGCTGAATCACTTTTAAAATGAAGAAATGCAGCTGATTTCTCTTCTTGCCCAAGGAGGGGATTGTGTTTTAGCCCTGGATTAAGACAGATAACGAGGGGGGAGATGAACCAGTTCTGCTGCACAGAAGCAAAGTAACTTTCTTGTTGATGCTCAGCATTTCTGACCACAGCCGGGTTGAATTACTGCGTTTAGATAGAATGAGCTAAAACATGTGCTTCCTGGTCCTGTTCCTCAAAACTCAGGCATGTTATTGTTCAGTCGGTCTAACCACCTAATCAACAGGCGTTCGTTCACAAAGAGAGAAAAAAATAAATAAAATAACTTCTATAGCCTGTTCATTTCTTTTTTTTTTGCACAAAATCCTTCTTAGATAATGAGATTTTAGTCTGCTCAGTTCTGCTGTTTTAGGGAGTCTTATCACTTTAAATCCACGCCCCCCATCTCAATGTTTACACTCGCAGGTGAAAACAGCTTCAGACAGCTGCACAGTTATATAACCATAAATCTTTGAAAAGCATACATGGGGCCTCCTGCACACAATCAACAAGAATGCAGCAAGTGGTTTTTGGATGGTAAGACAAGAACAAAACTCTTGTCTTTTCCAGTAGCCATTGTACAGCTGACCAGACATTCTGGATCTTGGCTGATGTTGCTAGGTAACGGTGCAGTGACTTATCAATTGGGAGGTTTTTGAAACGGCTCATTTCAAAAACACCAAAAAACATCAACTTACTGGAAAAAAAAAAAAAACAGCTGTGTGAATTTTTGAGCACTTGTTTGTAGAAGAAGTTGAGATCCAAATAGAAATATAAAATTGTGCAATATGTGAATTTTGAATAATAGTTTCCCTTTAAGGCTAACGGCTAGCTAGAATGGAGCTATTTAGATTGGAGATGGTCTTGAACCATCTCCAATCTAAATAACTTTATAGTGGGAAACGGAAATGTTTGTTTTGAAATGTTTTTTTTTTACACCTTCATGCATTTCTGTGAGCGTTAACCAATTTTGTTCTTCATAGAGAGCACAATACATGACAAAAAACGCTTTTTACATCACTGTGGAGGGACTCCGGCCCACTCTTCTTTGGAGAATTGTTTTAATTTAGCCAAACTGAAGGATTTTTGAGTATAAACAGTTTGTTTGAGTGCAGACTTTGACTTGGCCCTTTGTTTTTGAGTTATTTTATAAACTAAAAACCAAATTTTTATTCAGTCCCCCTTACTCTATATTTTATTGGACCACCTTTTGCTGCAAGTCTTTTGGAGCGTTTCTATAAATTTTGTTCATCTAAAGAGTGTGGTTTTGGGTCATACATGCTAAAATAGCTCAAATTCAGTTAGGATTTCTTTAAAGTCTTGCCACAGTTTCTCATTTGTGTTAAACTTGGACTTTGACTAGGCCACTCCAGCACATGATTATGCTTTGAATTATGTATATTAGTTTTCTGCATTTTGGTCCCATCAGATCAGAGCATCTTCTTTCACATGTTTGCCTACAAGGATCAGGACAGATATTTGGATTAATCTACAAATAATCCCATTGATTTTTGTTATTGTTCTCGTTTAAACAGAACCAGAATCAGGCTGAATATATTGCTTTTCCCTCACATTATTATATGCACCATTGTCTTCTTCAAAGCCAACTAGAGTGGGGTTGATATTTCATTTTAACTCCACTGTAAAGTAGCACTGAACACTGACCACCGAGGCTCAACCCTTATACAACTTTAATGTGCTTCCTGCTTCAACAGTGACCATAAAAACGCACCCAGATGCTCGCTCTTCGGTTCAGTTTTTGCTGAAATTCAACATCAGGGCGGAGAAGCGACATGGGGCCAGGAAACGCAGAAACAACGCAATAGTAATACCAGCCAAACGGTCACCATGTCCAGAAGAGGAAGAGTGAGCTATTAAAAATGCAGTAGCCATTTATGCTGTGTGTAAAATTGAGCTGATTAAAAATATATGCACCGTCTGACTTCCTCTATGTAACAAAGACAGAAAGGATGTTAAAGTGCAAATACAACCCGGAATGCAGTCATGCCTAAACTGTCAGATAATTCATGAAGAGTTATGGCAATAATATGACTTAAAAACCTGAATAAAAAAAATGGAATTGGAGATTTTTCTTAAAGCTGTTGTGGATTTGCTTGCAAGAAAAACCAGGGTGCTTGATTTTCAGAATCTGTTTCAAAAGAATTAAAATAAGGTTAAAAACACGCCAGGATGTGACAACGATCACAGCAGCCAATTGAGAGAGAGCCGTGGAGGTCATCATGGACAAGTGCACACATTATTTACAGCAGCATGACTCCAGAGAGTCAACATCTGAAAATATCTGGAGCACATGAATTCAAATCACTGACCGACACAGAGGAACGACAGTTGAGATTAAGTTCTCATTAGGCTTCTGGTTTTTTTCTACATGGGGAAGAATGTCAGTGTGAATGGTTCATTTTAGTGTGAGATCTTATTAGAGTATCATGAGTCAGGTTTTTTCACTCCAACTACCCAGCTGTGGATTTCTGTGGTTAGTTTTTCTCCTCTTGTAACATCATCTAGCTGTGAGTTTTCTACAGTTTTGAATAAATATAAAATAATTTGAAATGTACCAATCAGAATTCTGACCCATTTATGCCAATAAATACGCTTAGCTTAGCTTAGCTTGGATGACAGCAGCTGCTACAAAACCGCTGCTTTAAGAGAGCAGAAATCTGCTGTAACAGTGCGGTTAACTGCCCGTGGTTCGCTAAAATCCGTGAATACTTAAGACCCCCCCTTTAAAAATCGTTTATTTTAATAGTTCAAATCCCAAAAATATCTTCACACGCATACAAACGAAGCTGTCTTCGCACTACGCTGCGGGTAACATCAACGGTTTTCTTCATATCCGGTCTTTGGGGGTTACAGCCAATCAGCTTTTGGGAAATGAATGGCGGTCCAGGATTGGCTGATATGCAAACACCAGCCAATAGCGTGTCAAATAACATTTTACCTTAGAATTTTAGCCAAAACTGCGTTGTAATCAAATATTTTAGATTATGGTTTTTGGAATAAATATGCGATTTTTTATTTTTTTACAATAATTTGTAGTTATGCTTCATAGAAAAATCTGCCAATAAATTCTGTGGGATTGACCAGTCATCCTGAATACTGGAAAAATATTAAGTAAAACATTTAGAAAATTAGTAAAAAGAAAGTCCCTTCAAATGTTTTAATTGCTCAGTTGTGCCGGCTGACGTTAATGCTGACCAAATATATATATTACACATTTTATTGCTGATTGCTAAGAAAATTGGAAGTGTTGATTGGAAGAAAGTGAAGTCACCAAATGTAACTGAATGGAAATAGACTCAAAAAGTTGTATCTAATGAAATATTATGCATACTTTCTTTACAAAATAAAATAAATCTGTTTAACCAGACATGGAATGTGACTGAAAGTTTATTGGTTATAGAAAGTTTTAAAAATGGGCTAGAATCTGTTTTTTTGTGTTTAATCACCTGTAAATGGTAATGTTTTGTTTTTATTTCTGTAAAAACAAACACTGCCATCTCCTTGGGTATTCACAAAGTGATTTCCATATCTAGCTTGTTTTACGACAGAGGTCGCAAGCTTAAACATCAAAAGTAGAGCACCATACCCCTAAAACAGTCAGCATTTCTGTTATCTGCTTCAAGTCTTGCTCTCTCTCACTCTCTTGCAGCCTGAATGCCACTAGAAGCTTTTTACATCTCTGTATTTCTTCTGACTCACTGAAAATAGCTAAATGTAAGTTTACTTCCCTTTGTAGCAACTCCCGCACCCTAACCGATTGGAAAAAGATTGTTTTGCATCACCACCAGTCAAACTAATAATCAACCAACCAACATGCATCTCTAAAAATCATGACATATCAGATGGTAGCTTTAAAAAGAAAAAAACTTTACAGCTTTATTATGAAGCTACGTGCCTCATTTTTTCCCCAACAAAGATCCATCATCCATTGCATTTAGCAGGGGAATAAATGAACACCCCGGGGAGCTGGAAACAAATCACCGGTCTGCTCTGTACATGTTTGCACACAGATGTGTCGTGTCAAAAAACAAATAAGCAGAGTGAAATGGTCCAGATGGGCCTGCAGATTGCTGTGTGATGATTTCCCATGTGGAACAGAGATGTGGTCCGTATGGGACGTGTCGGTCTACGTCGTCTGACAACTCAGGAACTGAGAATAGTTTGACACAGACATTCAGCTCGAACACAGATCTCTATCTACGAGGGGAAACAACATCTTATGACCACTTAATTATCTTTGAACTGGTTGTGAATTAAATGGCTTAGAGCCGACCTACAGGTCGATGCATAAAACCCAAACGTTGGGTTCAAGAAGTTGACTTGTTCTACATTGGGTTTGTTCAACAGACCAAATGTTGTTTTCCATCCCACTGACCATCAACAAACTGGAAGGTGAGATCAATTTCCTTTCCTCTGATCACGATCTGGACACACAGAGGATGAAACCTGATAAGTTTTTTTTTTATTATTAAACTCTACCATGTGTTTCACATCAGTTTGTTTTGTTATTGAACCAAAGGGACGTCTCAGTTTTTTATAGTGAAGCTGGTTAACACACATCAGGTGGTTTCCTCATGACCTGACTTAATTTAAGCAGTGGGACACTCAGGTTCAAACACGTTTTCAGCCACTGTAATCAATTGAATTGCTTACCCTGTGCCGGTATCAAGCTCAAATTTAATTTGCACAGTTTTAAAATAGGAAAACACACACATCTGTGTTTCAACTGGACCTTTAAGGATGTAGCCATGTTTCCAACAGAGCAAAAGATTGAGTTAAATCAAACTGATTTAACCAGCAGCTGTTTAGCTCGGTTTGAGTCCAAAACAATCAGACTGCGCTATTAGATAATCAGAAATCAATAAATAAATGGAACACCCATCTAGTAAACATGTAAATAAATGCTAATGTTACACTAGCTGTGTTTCCATGGCTAATCTGAATAAAACTAATGTCAAAAAAACAATTTTGCACATGTGAACAAGTTTCATATTAAAAAACATCCTCCAACTACTTCCCGTCATTGTCTTATTCGTGGTTTTTGCCAGTAGTAACTTCTGGTTGTGACTCCTGTGATGCAAAAAAAGTGTTTCCATTGCAGTTTTGCGAAATACATCTATATTGCTACTGAATAAAAACCACCTCATTCTTGTGTAAAAACTGATCAAAAAACAAGTTTTTTCAAAATTTGCATATTTCGATTAAGCAAATTTATTTTTCAATTTGCCCAGGTGTGATCAATTTGCAAATTTATTTGGGTAATTTAAATTTGCGCACTTATATTGTTATATATGGTCAATATGCGCAATTACCCATTTCCTGCATTTTCATTGAATATACAATTGTGCAAATTGAAATTAAGAGAATATATTCGCTTAATGGAAACACCAATAAAAAAAAAAAACTCTAGTTTTTTGGTAAAAAGTTTTTGAAGTAGGATGAGGCGATTTTTCAGCCGTATCAAAATGGATGTATTTCGTAAAACTGTAAAACTTATAGGAGTCACATGATCAACAGTCAGATGTTACTACTGGCACAAACCACAAAGAAGACGGTAGGAAGTGGTAGGATGACGATGTTTTTTTTGTTGTTGTTTGTTTTCAGGACAATGTACAGCTCACAGCATTACAGACTTCATATAAAGTTGCATCATTCCAACGTGTTGAATCCATGGCTCCTCTCTAAAATCGTCAACTACAATTTTACCAAAACGCTTCATTTGTAGCCCAAGTATAATGGTGCGTTCACACCAACGTGTTTTGAGCATCAGGCGCGTCTGGTTTATATTCAAAGTCTATGAGGAGGCAGGATGAGGGCGAGTCGCGTTAAGGGCTGCACGAGTTGAACTTTCGCCGCCCGACGTGATGCATCAACCAGAACATAGTGGTGCATTTTCAGACGTGATCACAGAAAAAAAAAAAAAAACATGGAGAATAAACTAGTTGTTGAAGTTCGCTCTCGTCCTACAATCTGCGACCAATCAAGTTATGACTACAGAGACAAGAATGGAAAGGCTTGGAAGACGATTAGCAAGAAAGTTGGAATGTCGAGTAAATGATGACTTTTACTATTTGAAAATATTTCCCCGGATCTGAGCTACCCAAATTCGTCCGTTGAGTCACGTTTTATTAATTTAGACGAAATACGCAGGAGATGGTGGAAGAGTTGAAGGACACATAAGGAGTCTCTTCTCACCGTCCGCCTGGAGCGATTCTGACGTTCGGTGTGAACGCACCATAAGAGGCTCGTCAAGCAAACGACTGAATAAGACGTCAATGTCTCCTCTGATTCCTGGATTATGAATGTATTTCATATGATCCGGTTTACATGCCATGATTTTTACTGACTTATCGTGTGATTTTAATTGCTTACATAAAGGAAACACCGCAATTGTGCACATTTACTGAGCTGCGTATGGTTGGTCGGAGCTCCGCACTGTAAAAAAACAAAACAAAAACAACAACAAAAGACCGGGCAGGGTCCTGGTACACTGGCGTCTGGCACCGTACATCTGGCATTTAAAAAGCCTCAGAGCGAACAGGCTGACATTATTGTTTCGAGTGGGCTCTTTCAGCCACCTGGTTTTCAGGGATCTATTGTCAAAGCAATGAATGAGACTAAAAGCAGCGTTTGTATTTATCCTGCAACCAAATGTCAGCGACTCAAATGGCAGAACGGTTTGAATAAAATCTTTTCTTTCAGGCTCTTTCACTGGGATTTGATTAAGAAAATCCAACTTGTGTTGAAGTATGAAGAATAACCTAGGTTGTGTAAACTTTGAGCAGATGTGATTTACCATTTCTGACTGGGAAAAAAAGGGCCAGTCGTATTAACAAACATCACTTTGACCTTTAAATAGAAGCTGTGTGAGGCTTGGTGTGGTGCGCAGTCATTCAAGTAGATTTGAGTCCTTGAGGCAAAAGCTCATTCTGCTTGAAAAGTTGAGTGTAGCTGCAGGAGCTCAGTGTTTTTCTGCTACTTCTCTGCCCTTCAGACTCACTGAGTGTACAGATGTGGATTTTCTATAACATGAACTCGTTGAGTCTGCAGTGGCATTGAAAGAAGAAGAGTTGCTTTCTACAATAATGATGCATAAATAAAAAAATAAGCAATTTATTGCCTAAAATGTAAAACTTCTCTTTAGTGAATTTGATCTGGGTGAAACTAAAACTACGCCACTTGAAGAGTTTTGGGTAAAACAAATCTACAGGTATGTCTGTCGAAATCAACAATAAATCAATTTATTACACAATAAATTAAAATGAGCTCAATAATATCCATTTGAATGAGTGTTTTTGTCTTTTTCTACTAAATACTGATGACAAAAAGCTTCAGTTTGGCCTCAGCTTGCCCCTTTTACAGCATCAATTTTATTTGTTGTTTTTGTTTATTTAAAATGGTTGTTTCTACATTTTGTAGATTTATACAGTAATAATTAAATATTAAGCTAAAAATATCTTACTGATATCAGGATTCCTGCATGAAATGGTATAATAGCATAATATTTTTAAACTTAAAACCTTCTGCTAAACTACAGAACCTGCGGAATATAATTTTATATAAATAAACGAATTGAGGTTTTGTCCTTCCTGTGATTTTATTTGATCTTGTTTTATACTCCTTTAAAAACTAAACTACAATTAAAGACAATTATTTCACCTAAACATGTTTTGACATGCGCTGGAAACTTAAAACCAGCAATAAACCCAAAATAAAACTCAAATCAGTTGCTTTTGATATCACTTTATATACATATTTTAGACATATTTTACACAGAACAGAGTGTCGATGTGCTTTAGTTACAGAAATGGGTGTTAAAATAGAATTGCACGACAGAACCAGGTTGGGTCTGTGTTTCCTCACACGGTGTAGCTGCTGTAGTTCTGCAGCGTGTACGTAGCGACTGAATCCAGCAGCCAACCGCGGGTCACGACTGTGGCGCTCCTGGACAGACCTGCAAGCACAAAGCAGCCCGCTGAATAAAAGAACCGCAGGTAGGTTCAGGTAGCAACAAGGCATTGTTTTCCCAACTGGGAGCAGCTGATTAGCATCTGAAAAGCTCAAATAATATCTGAACTATGACCCCAAAACCCAGAGGAGTCGAAAGCAGGGTTTGTTTATGTTCCCCACAGTAAAATTAAAGAACTTTTCAAGCATTTTTAAGGCACATTTTTATACTTTGGAGATAAAAATAATACAAATAAACTGAAAAAACACACCTTAAATTCACTATTCAATTTAGTACTGTTAATATTTTTTCGTGATAGTATTTTACATTTCACAGAAGGCACAAGATAAATTAAAATATAAAACTTTTTTGTTTTGAAATGTTTTTCATATACACACCTTATACACCAGATGAGTCTGAGAATAAAACACTAATTTAAAACTAAGGTATAAAATATAAGATGATTAATAATTATTGAGCCATTAGGAATAATAAATATTCCATAAACAAAGGTGAAACCTTAAACTGCTGCTGCTTAAGTTACTCCACAGGCCGTTGCTAGGTAACCAAAGAGTGAGTGAGTTGCTAGGTAACCAAAGAATGAGCGAGCTAGTTGGCCTCACTCCTCTCACTTATCTGGTAGTGAGAGGTGGAGCAGCTAAAGCAGGGGTTTTCACACTTTTTCAACTATTTATTAAATGACCAAATCAAAATAATCTACTACAAAGTACAAACCATATTTATAGACATATTGAGGATTCTTTATACGTTTTATTTCGTATGAAAGTGATACGTTTTTTTTCTTCTTACTTAGTCCAGCTCCCGAGATTTTTTTTAATACCCTTCCTTAAGTTTAAGAGAAAAACAGAGATTTAAAATTTGGAGCCAACTTGATATGAAGCTAGTTTTGCTGCTGTTAGCGTCGTCGTCATAAAGTGTCAGAACTAGGCCTTTCTTCTTCTTCTTTATATTAATGGCAGTTGGCAAGCAACTACAGAAAACATTACCGTCACCAACTGGTAAGAGTGTTGGACTAAATTTATTGTAGATGGATGGAAAAAAAAACTGCTAGTCGACGATGACTACCACTGGTTTTAGATGTCAAGTTATTAATATAACTCACTAAATCTTAGATGTATGTATGATATATAAAAGAAAAAGGGAAGCTGTGATTTGCTTCTACGATAACTAGATAAGGACAGGAAAAATATATATATTTTTAAATAATTTGTGAGGGAGAGGGAAGTATGTCATCTATGCTAGCTTGACTTTGACAACCTTAACGTAGATATGATGTGGAATTTGGTTCCAAGTTGGTTCGGTTAAAAAAAAAGAAAAAGAAGAAAAGACCAGCAACCCTCACACCAACTCTGACAGATCATCAGTAGAGCAGGAGTTTAAATTAGCTAATCAGTCACCGCTGTTAGCTTAGCTTGTAGCAGCGATAGCTAATCCACCACAGCGATCACTTATTAATAATCGCAAAATAAACATCAAGACAGAAAACAGAAAACTATAACAGCCTGAATATTCTGCTCTTTGAGTGGGAAATGTTTGAGTGTTTTTCTGGTGTTGAATCGTGATACATTTGTGGCGGAGTAGTCAGTTGCTATGGCAACGAGTCTGTGTGTAGCGTAGCCGACACAGAAAGCGAGAAAAAATAAGAATACGAGTGGTTTTGAGTTGTTTCTTCAACGGTTTTTCTGCGTCATTTGTCCATGTGCTGTGACTAAATTAATAATTCATACATTTCCAGGCTTAACTTTGCTAGCGTAACCGTTCTACCGCGGCAGCGCGGCTACAGATTACAAGAAAAAGAATTGTCATTTCGACCTTCAGTGTTGTGCGCACACATGAAAT